AAATATAAAGCTTTTTTTTTTTCATGAGAACTGAATGTTTAGGTTTTCCTAAAGGCAGGTGTGGTCTCCTGTAACACTCATGCATATCCAAGACTGCTGTTCAGGGAGCCAATTAAAATGCCATCTCAAATCACAAAAGAACAATTATCATCCACAAACAACTGAAAATACTTTTTATAGAACTGAAGGTCATGAAACAATGCAACTGGTTTTTAAAAGCCCAATAAATCAAAAAGTCCCAGCAATACTGAAAAGTGTTGGTGTTTTTTTCATGGCATTTGTATGTTTTCAGAATTAGTTTAGATTTTGTTTTTTCAAAATTATGATGCAAAGAATTAGTAGTACAGGTTACATATTTGTTAGTAAATGTATGCTTACTTTCCATTGATGACGCCATCTGGATTAAGCATGGGAATAATTTTGAAAATATAAGATTCTCGTAAATACTGGGCATTTGGACTATTGCTCATAAGGTATTCCAGTGTTCCCTTCATAACCCAGCTTGCATTTGTCTCGCCAGGATGTACACGAGCAGAGAGGAAAACATAAGGACGATTCCCTAAAGAAATATGCATAGAAATTGCAAAATATTATTTAAGCTAAGACACTTTGTTAATTGAAAAAGGAGCCATAGCTAGCTAAATTTATTACAATGACAAAAATAGTATTTTTGAGTTGAGTATTACTGAGTACAAATACTATTGATCGAGCTTACCACAGTATTTTTTTAAAGGACTACTGATTACAAAATTATCACAATAGACCTTAAAGTCAATCAGATAATTATACAGTCATAACTAGTTCGAGCTTGCAATTATATGAGTTTCATGGTTTTTTTCCCAATATCCAAAAAAACTACTGGGGTGGAGGAACAAATCAGGAATACTGTCACAACTAAAGTTCAGTTCAAAACACAGTAGCTTAGATATTGGATTTATGAAAGAGTTTTTGACAAGGAAATAACCTTAGTGTTTGGAGAAAAAAGTTACTTGCCAGGTATTCTTTTACAAAAAGTGTTGTCTGCAAAATGTAACAGGCAAAAACACCTAGCAACAAAAATTTAAAATATATGAATATATACTCTCATCTATCCAGATAGAAATATCTTTGACTACCACAAATAAATGCTATTAAATACAAAGCAAATCCTGAATGTTGATGCCTCTTAATTTCATTAAATCCATTAACCTTATTTTACTTAGCTATTTTTACAATGTAGAGTGGTTAATATTAATTTTTTTCTGTAAATACGTAGTTTTACATCATTTTGAACTGGTAAGAAAGAAAAGTCATACTTACTGAACTGACAGATATGTTCATAGTAATTGGACTCTGGCATGGCTGTAATAGTGACTAATGGACAGCTGTTACCAGCCAGAGTCTCGCAGAGAACGTCTTGTCGAAAATATATCTGCTGAGGGTTGTGCATAGATTCCAGCTTCTGAAGATGCATCTTCATCCCCCCAAAAAATGAAAAAATACTTCAAATCCTTTGCAGTCACATAGACAGCATATTTCAAAGGTACTATTTAACAGATCTTTCTCTTTGTTTTTCTAATCAATATTCAAGTTTCCATCACAATTTTGACCACAAAATACATTCTCTAAATCTTTGATTGAATAATTCTCTATATAGAGTCTGTTTTCCAACTGCTTTGAGAAAGACAAAGACACAGAGAGTCCAATATCGTACACAGATGATACTACATGGATATACAGCATGCAAGAACCTCTGCTTCATTAAGGTTATTTGATCACGGACCTTTTCACTGCAAAGGGTGCTAACGAGGAAGAATCAGTAAACAGGAACATAGAGCTGAGACACAACAGAAACAATAAGAAAAGACCAAAGTCACCAGTCTCTCACTGACAGGCCATTAAGAATCTACAGACAAAGACTTGGAGAGGATCACTTGAAGAACCAGGAGGAAACAAGAACAGCATGAGGATTTGGAATATTCAAGAGGGACGCTGTGGTACTATACAAAACTCAAGCATCTGATCCCTACACCATGCCTTTACCCATCCAGCCTCACTCTCTATCCTGTACATGCAAGTGCCATGTGGACTAGTGCAGCTAACAAGGCAGGTTTAAGTGGATTTGAGGTCAGCAGCTGGAGTGTGCAAGAGTCTCAGCATCAGTTGCTGGAGAGCCCACACCTTTTGGGAGCATGTCTGTGGGTACCACAGACTCTGTGTCCCAAGTCCCACCTACAGCTGGGATCAAAGCAGACTCCAGCAGCTGGAGCTGTAAGCAGTGTAGGCACCCTTCCATCAGTGATGCCAGCAATGGAAGTAAGAGGGTGTCTCAGTGACAGCTACTGCAGTGGGTAAAGGTGTTGGTATCCAATCACTGAGGCAAGAACAGTGTGTCCCCCAAAAAAACAGTTAATGCTGTGATAAAGGCGAGTTTCTCAGTGCCAGCACCTAGAGCACGAACATGGGTTACCAGCCCATGTACCTGGTACCAGCTGCTGTGGGTGGGGGGCAAGCATATACATCTTCCCTGCAACTAGTGTGCATGGCAGGGGCGCATATACAATTTGCTAGCGAACATCAAGGTGGACTACCCAGTGATTATAGGACCCCAGGTCAAGAAAGGGACATCAAGTGGGTAGATAGTCCATGCTGGCATCTGGGCAGAGCCACAAGTACAAAGTGCCTGTCAGATGAGTGCACAAATGAACACATCTGTTTGCCAGCGAGCATCCAGCTGCACTAGACTGCAAGTTGGAGACATGCACAGCAGGTGCAAGAGACTGGGATCCAAGCAGGGGTATGGTATGGATGGGCCATGCCAGTGACCCACAAAGAGAGCAGGGTGTGTGTGTGTGTGTGTGTGCTTTTACTAGTGAGGAGCAATCCTTACCAGCTGTAGAGGAAGAAAGGGACTTGTGTGTCTGTTAAGCTCAAGTTCTGGTAGTGTTACACATGGGTGCACCTT